GCGTGCGTGTGTGTGTACGTGTGCGTGTGTGGTTCCCAACTGCGGATAGGCTTCCTATAGAAGGCTTATCTTCTCTAGCCTGGAGGAACAAACAACGAGAAACTTTCTAAAGGTTGCGCTTGCCGCTAAACCAGCTCACACGAGGATATATAGTGATATTGTACACAAAATTCCACTACACGTATCATCTGGTAGTAGTATAAGCTATAAAACCTCACATTTCAGACACTTTACTGATGAGCTTATTGTTATATATTTATTAGGTTATATTTGCCCAATGACTCCAGACTGGTCGGAACGGTCAGACTGGTCAGAACGGTTCGGCAGATCAGTAGTTTAATACGCTATATATATATATATATATATAGCCATACACCACATGAATAATTTCTGCGTTTAGATGGTGTGTGGGAATAGATCGCCAACAGGGCATGTCAACAAATTGCTTTCTAATCTTCCGCAATCCAGCCCAGGGGGCACCGGTTGAAAGCACTTTGGATTGACTTGATGGCATTGCAAATACGCCAATCAATTCGTATCGGCCACAATTTCGTCAGTACCCACCAAGATAACCGATTATCACGTGGATATGTTCACTACGTTTACGAAAAAGGCGTGGAGAAGTGATTATACGTCTATGCTTTCTGTGTTCTTTTCTTCGTCAGTATTTCTCCCCCATTCTATTTTTTCTGTGTCTTGCGCCGCATGTGTTTCCGCACAGTGTCAACGCCACGGTTCGCCACAGTCAACGTTTCTTTAGCTAGCAAAACCAGCAGCAATGCAGGGGAACGCTCAGCACACTGATGCTGTGAGAGCTTTCAAGCAGGCACGTACGGCATCGGGTAACTCAGCATAATCAATGCTGTGTTACACACACACACGGCCGAACCCAATATATAACGCAGTGACCTCCGATCGACTCAAAGTCAAACACCGCTGTCAAGCCGCCACACACCACTCGATCGATCTCCACACGCCCAGCCTTACATCTTAGCCTTACATCTTAGCCTTACGTCTTTGCCTTACATCTTTGCTTTACATCTTAACCTGACATCGTAGCCTTACATCTTATCCTTACATATTAACCTGACATCTTATCCTTACATCTTAGCCTTACATCTCAGCCTTACATCTTAGCCTTACATCTTATACTTACATCTTTGCCTTACATCTTAGCCTTACATCTTATACTTACATCTTTGCCTTACATCTTAGGCCTTACATCTTTAGCCTTACATCTTTGCCTTACATCTTAGCCTTACATCTTTAGCCTTTTACATCTTATACTTACACTCTTAGCCCTTTACATCTTATACTTATCATCTTAGCCTTACCATTCTTATCCTTACATTCTTTAGCCCTTTACATCTCTAGCCGTACATCTCAGCCTTGACATCTTATATCCTTCATATTAACCTGGACAGCTTCAGCCTTACATATTAACCTGACATGATTAACCTGCGACATCTTATTCCGTACATATTAACCTGATCATACTTAGCCTTACAGAATTACCTGACATCTTATCCTTACTATTAACCAGACATCTTATCACGCACTACATATATAACCTAACATTCTTATTCCTTACATATTAACCAGAACATCTTATCCGATACCATATTAACCTAGACATCTTAGCCTTACATATTAACCTGACATCTTAAGCCTTACATATTAACCCTGACATATTAGCCTTTACATATTAACCCTGACATCTTTATCCGTACATCTTAGCCTTTACATATTACCTGACAGATTCTTAGCCTTACATATTAACCTGAACATCTTATCCGTACATATTAACCTGCATCTTAAGCCTTACATATTAACCGACATCTTAGCTTACATCTTAGCCTTTACATCTTATTCCTTACATTTAACCTGACATATTAGCCTTACATATTAACCTGACATCTTATCCGTTACATCTTAGCCTTACATATTAACCTGACATCTTCAGCCTTACATATTAACCTGACATTTATCCTTGACATATTAAACCTGAACATCTTATCCGTACATAATTAACCATGACATCTCTATCCTAACATATTAACCTGCACATCTTAGACCTTACATATTAACCTGCAACATTCTTTAGCCTTACATCTTAGCCTTACATCCTTATAACTTACATGATCTAACCTGACATATTAGCCATTACATATTAACCTGACAATCTTATCCGTACATCTTAGCCTTACATATTAACCTGAACATCTTATCCGTACATATTAACCTGACATCTTATCCTTACATATTAACACTGACATTCTTAGCCTTACGATATTAACCTGACATCTTATCCTTACATCTCAGCCTTAAATATTAACCTGGACCATCTTATCCGTACATTGTACCCTGACATCTTATCCGTCACATAATTAACCTGGACATCTTAATCCGTACATTCATTAACCTGACATCTTAGCCGTACATATTAACCTGACATCATTAGCCGTACATATTACACCTGAATCTTAGCGCGTACATATTAACCTTGACATCTTTATCCTTACATATTAACCTGACATCTTAGCCCTCATTTACAATATTAACCTGAATCTTTCCTTACAATCTCAGGCCTTAATATTAACACCTGACATCTTATCCGTACATTATTTAACCTAGACATCTTATCCGTACATATTAAAAAACAAACCTGGCACATACTTTTAAGCCGTACAATTATTAACCTGACCATCTTACTTCCAGTACATATTAACCTGACATCTTAGCTTACATTATTAACCTGACATCTTAGCCTCACATCAGCATCTACAATCTACATTATACACATAATATACATTTATACACATAAGGCCTATATAACTAGGAATAGACTCTCACACACACGCACGCACGCAACGCCACGCCACGCACGCACCGCGACGCACGCACGCACGCACGCACGCACACACACACATACACACAACACACACACACACACACACACACACACAGCACACACACACACACTACACACACGATCTACTTACTGTATAATCTCCTCCTTCTGCGCGATGTTGCCGTTGAGCATCTTCTGCACGATGAAAGCGTGGTCCTCCTCCGATATCTGCGCGCGCGCAATCAGCGGCATCTCCGCTCCCGCCCCGCTCAGCCCCGCGTCCGTAGCCAGCCACGCGTGAAGAGCGATCTGGTCCAGCGTGAGCCGCCGGCCCGGTTCCCTCACCAGCATCCGCGAGATGAGACTGAAACGAGACAAAGGATGAGAATTGAAACACGAGACGATGAAACGAGCGGATGAAGACGAAACGAAGACAAAGGATGAGCACTGAAACAAAAATCGAGATGAGACTTAAACGAGAGCCGAGATGAGGACTGAAACGAGAAGTCGAGACGAGACTGAAATGAAAGACGCGCAGAGAGACTCGAAACAGAGATCCGAAGATGAGACTGCAAACGAGACAAAGGGATGAGAGGAAACGAGACGCAGGAATGGAGATGTTGATAACGCAGACGATGAAACGAGGATGAGAGACTGAAACGAGACGGCGAGAATGATGACTGAAACGAGACGCGAGATGAGACTGCAAGAGACGCGAGACTGAACCTGAAACGAGAACGCCGAGATGAGACTGAAATGAGACGGCAGAGACTGAGACTTGAAACGAGAGCGGCGAGATGCAGACTGAAACGACGACACCGCGAGAGATGAGACCTGAAACAAAATGCGAGAATGAGACTGAAACGAGGACGCGAAGGATTAGACCTGAAACGAGACGAATGATGAGATTGGAACGAGACCGCGAGATGGACGACTGAAACGAGACAGCGTAGAACCGAGACTGAAATGAACGCGGGAGATCGAGACTGCAACGCAGACAAAGGGATGAGAATGAAACGAGACGCGTAAGGAATGAGATTGAAGACGATGACGAGGATGACTGAAACGAGCCGGAGATGAGACTGAAAAGAGACGGCAGATGAGACTGAAAACGAGACCGCGAGATGAGACTGAAACCGAGACCGGACGAGAGATCACGAGACCGAATAGAAAACGAGACGCGAGATGAGACTGAAACGAGACGCGAGATGAGACTAAAACGAGGACGCGAGATGAGACTGGAAACGCAGACGCGAGAATGGAGACTGAAACGAGACGTCGGAAGGGAGACTGGAAACGAGACGCGCAGATGAGACTGCTGAATACGAGACGCGAGACTGAGACGAAAACCGAGACTGCGAGATTGAGACTTGAACGAGACGGCGAGATGAGACTGGACGAAACCGAGGACGCACGTAGATGAGACTGAAACGAGGACGCGCTGAGATGAGACTGAAACGATGAACGCGAGATGAAGACTGAAACGAGACGGATGAACAGACGCATGAGACTGAAACGAGACGCGACGATGACACTGAAACGAGACGTCAGCGCCGAATGAATGAAGACTGAACCGAGATGAGGGACTGAACGAGAGCCCGAGATGAAATGAACGACGCTATGAGACGCAACGAGATGAGACTGAAGAGGCAGATATGAAATGCAGACGCGTGAGAATGGAGCGTGGGGACTGAAACGAGAGAGCCGAGATGAGACCCGATAACGCAGACAACGAGATTGAGACTGAAACGAGACGCGAGATGAACTAAAACGAGACAAAGGGATGAGATTGAAACGAGACGGCAAGCATTGAGACCAAAACGAGAACGCGAGATTGAGACTGAAACTGAGACGTGAGATGAGACTAAAGACGAGACGCCGAGATGAAATGAAACGAGACTGTGAGATGAGACCTCGTAAACGAGACGCATGATAGACTGAAACGAGACGCGAGATGAGCACTGAAAGCGAGACGCAGACGATTGAGACTGAAACGAGACGCGAGATGAGACTGAACACGAGCGACGCTGAGATGAGACTGAACGAGATGCGAGATTGACGACTGAAACGAGACGCGAGATGAGACTGAAAATGAGACGCGAGAGTGAGACTGAAAGAGGACGCGAGATGAGACTGAAACGAGATGCGAGATGAGACTGAAAACGAAGCAGCGAGATGAGACTGAAACGAGACGCGAGATGAGACTGAAACGAGACGCGAGATGAGACTGAAACGAGACGCGAGATGAGACTGAAACGAGACGCGAGATGAGACTGAAACGAGACTAGGGAAAGGCGACGGTCGCGGCATACAGTGATGACACCTGTATGTACCTGGATGTAGTGTCCGTCGTCTACAGACCTAATGCAGTGATGCGCCGTACTTGTAATTAAAAAGTGATGGATGACTGACCTGTGTCGCCCGGTTAGTGCACACAAAATTTGTCATTATTTGCCTCTGATATATATATATTATATATATATATATATATATATATATATATACATATACATCAGGAGTTAATAAAGACAAAGGAGTTTGACACGTATTTGGTACTGATTCCACTACATTTTGTCGTACGAGTTCGATGTGAATAAAAATACAAATGTATACAAACATGAGCTTCTTTTGTTCACTGGCCATTATTCTATCTTCCGGTAGTATTACAAACCGCGTAGTTTCTATCGTTTTGACATAAATCGTACTTTTGCACGACATGGTTTTCACGTTATTTACCGTCGTGTGGCATAGCCAAGCGGTAAATTCGCATACACAGCAACTGGAAGGAGGCGAGGTCTAGCCGAGTGGAGAAAATAAGTTACGTTGCACCCATGCTGGGTTTAAAAATTAAAACTATTTTAAAATTGAAACTATAGTTAGAATGCTTTGTTTTTATGGTCGAATCCCGCAGTTTTTTTAAACAAACGCTGCGCTGGTAAAATATCTGAACTACTTCACCCGCGGAGGAATGATGTGTATGAATCTTAGCGAGTAAATTGATGCTCCAGCTGATTGTAGCTTTTCGCACGTGTTTTGCATAGCAACCGTTACTATGCAATTGCAGGCAAACGCATGTGTTTACACCTTACTTATCATAACCATCTGTATGTGATAAAGGCGAGAGTTAACGTCGCTTGGCTTTGTTAGCCGAACAAAAACTTCTTCGCGTTGTCCATGCTGTAGATGTAATTCTTATTCTTGGACATTTGCTTTGACGCTTGACTCTAGTTCGACCACATCGATCGCATTTACTTTGTCCTCTACTTCACCTATCTCTAGTGCCGTTAACGGTCTTGTAGCAATACACCGTTTGCACCTGCGGTCGATCCTACGTTCAGATGTTTTTGAAGAATTTCTACGTGCATGAACTTTATCTGCCATTTTTGAACTGCAAGGCTGCGAGCTACGAGAAAATTTCTCACGAGATAACGTACGGGAGACGCGATCCCTGTCGCGCCTCCTTCCAGTTGCTGTGTATGCGAATTTACCGCTTGGCTATGCCACACGACCGTAAATAACGTAAAAACCATGTCGTGCAAAAGTACGATTTATGTCAAAACGTAGGAAGCTACGCGGTTTGTAATACTACCGGAAGATAGAATAAGGACCAGTGAACAAAAGAAGCTCATGTTTGTATACATTTGTATTTTTATTCACATTGAACTTGTACGACAAAATGATTAGTGAATCAGTTTATTAAATTACTTGTCAAACTCCTTTGTCTTTATTAAAGCTCCTGCATATACATAATACATACATACATACATACATACATTACATTACATACATACATACATTACATACATACATACATTACATACATACATACATACATTACATGACATACATTAGCATAGCATACATACATACATACATACATACATACGATACATACATACATACATAGCATACATACATTACATACTACATACATTACATACATACATACATAACATTACATACATACATAACATACATACATACATAGCATAGCATCATACATACATACATTACATACATACATACATACATAACCATACATACATTACATGACAGTACATACATACATACATACATACCATACATACATACATACATACATACATACATACATACATACATACATAATACATCATAATACATAATACATACATACATACAACATACATACATAAACATTACATACATACATACATACATACATTACATACATAATGACATACATACATACATTACCATACATACATTAATACATAACATACATACATACATACATACATAACATACATACATACATACATACATACATACATACATTACATACATACAACATACATACATACATACATAGCATACATTAACATACATACATACATACATGACATACTACATACATACATACATACATACATAATACATACATACATACATTACATACATACATACATACCATTACATACATTACATACAGTACAGTACATACATACATACATACATACATACATACATACATACATACATACATACATACAGACACTTACATCATACATTAGCATACATACATACATACATACATAAGCATAGCATAACATACATACATACATACATTACATACTACATACATACATACATACATACATTACATACAT